TTATAGCACCTCGAAGTCAATGCATTCTTATGATATACAAATAATAAGGCACCGGAGAATTTTTCAAATGAATTTAATTCATAGAAAATTTTCATTTGATTGTAGTTTTGAACCTGCGAGAAGAACTTTGAAGCGTATTTGTGTAATCAGCAAATTGCTATGCATTCGTCTCTTCGGACGGTACTTTACGTGCTCAATTGAAAAATCGCCTGCGATGCCCGTATGCACTGTGTGACGCACGTGCGCATAATTGTAAGGCGTCAACTTGAAAGCTTTGTATGCTAAATTTACATTAGTCACACTTGAAGCTCATTCTTATTTTTACAAAAAAAATCTTGAAATTAAGTTACAATACAAATTGTAATTTTATTTCAGGATAATTTCATTGTTTTATTAATTTTGTTTTTTTTTAATTTTAATTAAATAGATAAAATAATTATATTTAATTTTGACATTTTCAATCGTAAAATAATTTTACTCAACGCTCGGGCGTGGACATCTATTTATTTTCTATTTAAAAATAAGTTATTAAATTGTAAAAAGCTTTACGATATCGATGAAGGCCACAGGCTCTGGATCTCGTTTTCGTTCGATTCTGAGCACATGCAAGCAGCAACGTGGGTGTCATCACATATTAGGTGCCCATTGCTCTATCACGAGCAGTCGTCATCGTCGTTATTATTATAATTATCATTATATGTGCGAGAAGGGCCATTGTTTCGCGTAGAAACACCGGATGCCTCGTTCGCCGAGTACATGCATGAACCGGAAGAGCCGATCATCGTCGCGCACCAGACCGATATGAGTAGATGCCATTTCCTCGAGCCGAACTTGGGAGTGCCTCGCTCGGGCGCTATTCTTGTGCTTCTTTTTTCTGTAGCTTTGACGATCACCGCCAATCGTTGCCGATAAGATTAGCAGCCGTTGTATTTTATATACATATGAATTTATGCAACAGTTTGTTCATACCGATCGAGAGTTTTAAAATTCGATACAAGTATAAATAAAGAGAGAAATGTCACTCAATCTTACCGGATTTTTCATTATAGACAAGAGCAAATTTTTTGGAAAAATTTTCATGTCAAATATCTATGTTTATTCATACATGCCAACGCGTCGAGGATAAAAATGACATGTGATAGTACATGTCAATTGGGCATATTATATACATGAATATACGCTGCAAGCGTTAGCATATACATCCATGGTGTATATAATTTCATGCTCAACTTACCGAAGTGTACATCATATTATGCACAATATACTACACATGAATATAATACAGTGGATGTCATTCAGCCGATGCGTCCAGACTTGCATTCTAAATCATACGAATTGTCTTTTCAATGGGTATCGCATGACATGCTCCCCGGCCGAATGTAAATATAAAAAACTGCTACTCCTTCAATCGGCGCATCCGATTCAGATGTCAGAGCGCGAGTCGCGATGCTCGCGAGTGGAAGAGGGATGGACGCGCGCAAAACCGAAGTTTACCAAACACGCGAGGAGTGCGCTTACGCGTGCACAGTATGCATAAAGCCGCGTACGTGGTACACGGGGTGCAGTATTTCGTGATTAAGTGGCGCAAACAGTGCATACACGTACGTGCGTGCGTATACGTCTCGAGTACTCCAGCGAAGAAAGGCGCCTTTGCCAACGAGCACCTACCGCCTCGTCGCTATATTTTCACGTAAAATGAGAAGAAGTTAGCGCAATGCAAGTTACATAATACTTGTCGCGTACCTTGGGCTATTTACTTCGGGGACGCGCTTATTCTCTACGCGCAAGTTGCGACGATTTTCAACCACGACGCAGCTCGATGTAGGCACAAAAAAAGGAAAAGTGCAGGTATACACGGCGGCAGCTTTTTTAGCGCAGGAATGCGCCAATGAAAAAAGACGCGCAAAGTGATTAGCGCAGTCGGTAGCGAGGCAGCTTTACGTAAGCAATGCGGAAAACAACAAATTGATCGGCAGAAACGCCGCGGATCGCCTAGATTACGATTGCACGAGCGATTTACCTGGAGCTGATTATCGCTAAATTATAGCTTCGAATTACTCATTGGAGCGACTTTGAGCGATGCAAGCGATGGTATAACGATGATCCGCTCGTTCCTCGAAAGCAAGCACTTTTTTCGCACAGCCGACCTGAAAAAAGCTCGCACTTGCATGTACCGTAACGTCGACGCTCGACGCTCGTGGCTGACTCGTTTGGCCATAATAATCAAGCAATCATCCAATCGAGCCAAACTCCGCATGCTCATACATTGCACGTTTTAAGCGTCACGACGACTCGACGGCGCGCATCATCAACAGGCGTGTGAACTCGCGAATTGTGGCCTGGCAATCGAGCATCGCACGATCTCGCGGCCGAGTACGACTATTGTTCCTTCGCCGGAGTAATATTTTGATGTCTGCTCTATACGTACGCGTGTTTGTTGCTACGTTTTGACTGCCGTTCGTACGAGCCGAGTCCCTCGGCCATGCGCGAGAGAGAAAGAGTTTCGAATGGAACTGCCTCGTCGGACAGGCATAGGCGGCTGGCCAGAGCAGCGGCTCGTGCCTCTTGGCCGATCGCACGAGTTATATTGTCTCTCTGCGCGTATGTGTCTGTAGCTGTGTACACACGTACTCACACGCTCGCCCAAGAACTGCCGTCACAATTTAATCGCGCGGCAGTAGGCCGGCACATTATACACGCTTGGCTCTCTCACATGCACACACAAACACGCGCGCCCGAGCCTCTCTCAGTCTGCTTTAAGAAGTCAAGCTCTTGATATGCGTGCTGCGCGCTGTTGATGCAGCACGCGCCAAGATATTTGCGCCAGTGATGTTTACGGATTTGCTGTGCGTGCAGTGAAACAAAGTGACGTGCGTGAACGAACGCGGCCGAGCCTCGTGCTCCTGCGAGCTCATTTTTATTACAATTTTACCTTCCGAATTTTACCAAGTGTCTATGGAAAATGTCTAACGTAAATGTCTGCTCTCTAAGTGATTGATCAGAGTTTGCATATCAACGATAGTTGCATACCAACGATAAACACTGTCATTGATATGACTTCATGTGCTCACTTACACGCAATAGTTTCATGCCAAGCATTAAATTCTATTTATTTATTGAAGATTCAACAATTAAATTTACTCGCAACTAAAATTTTTATTGCGTATGAAATTCTTTAATAAATGAATCATACAAAAGTTTAATCAAAATTCAAACAAACAAGTCATATTAACGTAATAATATTCTCAGCCTTATCTATTGCGAATTAAAATCCTCGATTCCGTACACTTTGGTTTTATTTTTATGAAGTGATCTATGGTCCGTATCAATTAAAGTGTTAACGTGAAACAAAGTGATATTGTGTTGCTATGTGTTAGTGCACAAATGAATGATACGTGCAGTGAGCAAGTTGTAAACTGCATCCGAGGTGCAAAGTTCCTAATCATAGAGCTTATATCGAGTCTATGTGACGTGCGCGTCGCTCTAAATTTACCTTCGCCGACAATTAGTACCACCAAATTGACCAAGCAAGCTCATTAATACAGCGTGTCCAGAATGAGTCACAAAAAATCTTGGTATTGGATTCTGCGACGACCGAGAAAGAAAAGCAAATCGGAACTCGACAGCGAAAGTCCGCCCAGTTCACCGGGCTCTTGTGAGTTCATTTCCTTGGCTTAAATCTGCCTTTGACATATTTCATATTCATTATACTCATTTCATTCATTATATAGCCGAAGGTTGATTGGCTAAGCTATACGATTGCTACATTGATATGTACGCATGGCTTCATTCAGTCACATCATCAATTACACGTGCTTATCATCTCATTGCATTGGCAACAAACACGGGAGTTTAGAAATGATTTCCGCGAGAATTTTCTTTCTTGAAAATCCTTGTAAATGAGCCTAACCTTTGTTTCCTGACAAATACTTGAAACGATACTTTTTCGAAAATACAATAATATCATTTTCAATGAATACGAGTCTTATCAGACGCGAACTCAGTTATTCAAATGCCGCAGAGGATGTTTGTGTCAAGTCTCAAATACACTTTCCTATTGTGTATTTCCAGCGTCAGACTGTATTCCTCGGCAGCCACAGCAGCTGATTCATAAGGGGCTCTGTGGATTGTCTTGCACATATTATTATCGTATGTATAATTACGTATGACTAATCGCTATATAAAAAGACGTCAAAAATGCGAGAGCAGACTCTTATGCTTCTTCTCGGCGATAATGAGTTTTCCACAACTTCATTTACAATTATAAACACACAACATACAATTTTGTATTAAACTTGAAATATATTTCGTTTATGCTGTTAGAAAAATATAACAAAAGATCACATATTTTCTCACTCAATCATAAAACCTCAAAGTTCCACATCAAGTTTGTGCGTTATTTCTTTTTATTATCATTATTTACGTCGTCTTATGACTCAACTCGAATTTAGACCCAGTAACTGATAATAATTCAGTGAATGTCAAACTTCAGTGTTTCGTGACATTCTTCATTGATGTAATTTTGTCGTAGAACTTTTGATATCAATTGTGAGATTTTATCAAGTATATTTATGATGCGTGGGTGGATAAGAAATGAGATTCGATATCCGAACTTTGAGCACCCCAAGGAAATCCAGAACTATTTCTACCAGTAAGACTTTTGCTTCCTTTCGGAGTTATCGCAAATAAAATGTGAGATGAAAGTATGCGTCCGGAAATTTAATTTTATCTGTGTGATATGTGTTTTACTTATACAGCCACTCGTACGTCAATGAATTTTCACCCCTACCACTCATTATCGCATGCAGAACATTTTATACTAGCAGATGAAAGTGTTCGTTTTACTAGTTGATTAGTGTTGCTGCATTTTTTATTATAAACTATAATTAAAGTGTATATTAATTTATCAATATAATAGTTTTAGCATTTACATTTTTATGTAGTTTGCATTTTTTATTTAGACCAGTTAATGTTATAATGATAATATTTAGGATCTGTGAATAATTTAATATAATTTACTGACATACTAAAAATAATCTAAATCAAATTTTGTACAGCTGAATAACGCGATTATTCAGTGCTTGCAAAGGTCTCACATTATTTTTATGTCCATCACTGAGTCTTACGTTCCGAAACATGTGAATCTAAAAACGACAAGAAAAACGTAGTTTTTTTTTTTAATTTGCGAAGTATTAAGATAAAAACTCACAATTTTAGGCGATATTGGCATTGTTTTAGATAAAACTATCCATCGGACGTTTTCGATGCACGGAGGTGTAGTCAGAGATCCACTATAAGTGTACAATTCATCTAGTTCAGATATAAATGACGATAATGGAAATGGTTCAACTTCGTCATTAGACTCTTTAGGTTGCTTGACTGTTTGTGCTAGTGATGCAAATAATTTCATCCCTGCATTAGGAATTTGGTAATTCTATAATTTCAATATATTCAAAATTGATTTAAAGATTTTATCATTTTCTAACTACAATTTAAAATTCAATTTCTCGCAAATACATACTCTAGTCGCATATATGACACCCATCACTGCGAGACCATCAGAGTGTCGTGAAGCTTCTTCTGATGAGTTATATTTGCCGTTGTAGTGCACCAAATGTAGTTCAGCTGCAAACCTTCGAACGATAAAATTTATTTACTACTATTATTATTTTATTTATCCAACACCTATACACACCTCTTTCCAACTAAGCTGTGCTCTGATCCTGAATGATCATCAGAACTCCAATGTAAATGAGCTGCTTTAAATATATATCTTTCATTTTTAAGAGATTTTCCCGTCATGAATGGAGAATTATTAGCCCAGATAAAATTCTTTAAATGAACTAATGTGATTGCATAGTTAAGCTCCAATATCTTTTAACTATTTTAAAAAATTTATAAAGTTTCTGTTTGGAAAAAATTACCAGTGTGTCCATCATTGTGCACTTCAAATCGTTCAGGTATAAAATCATAGTTAATCAATTGCAAACTAGATGGGTCGTGAAAAAAAGTATGTGGTCTAAGGTCTATTGGGGATTGCCTCTTTCCTGTATTGCAAATCGAGCCAGATCCACGTGCTACCAAATAAAATTACTTTAGTAAAAAGTAAAATATTAGAGTCTGAAAGATTTTGCAATATTTTGATAGTTTTTTTAAGAAAATGTTAGTAAAATGAATGAAAATTATGCGGAGGGATTGTCTCATCAGTTTTATCAATATTAGATTCTAATCTCTTATTTACAGTATATTATAGACGTTTAGCTATTTTGACAGTTTTCGATTACAATAATAAGTCAACGAAAAAATTTTTTTAAATCGGTATATTTTTAATAAATTTAATTAATTAAGGTCTTTTTGAAGTTAGCATAAATTAGGTGATAATAATGCATTGAGGTTATGCTCTTAATCGGTAGAATGAAAAAGATCAATCATTGACTTTTTATATTGAAACAATTACACGCATTATAAAACAAATCCAATTATTTATTTTCATACAACACCTTTCATTGAATTAATAAGAAAATTATAAGGTCCAATGAAAGTCATCACATAATGTGTTAAAAACATAAATTAAAATTACAGAGAAATCTTTTTGTAATTCTAGATTTTTGCAAAATCTTTCAAAAACTGATTTTTTGGTGATTTTATCTATTTTTCTAAACGTCACTTATACTTATTGAACAACAGTACCTGGTTTGTCTGAAGTACAAAGTTGAATATAACTAGATGTCAAAATAATTGTAATTATGATTCTTGTTAGAATCATCTTCTTTCGTTGTTTCTACTTCCACAAGTTTGAAAAAAGCAATGAGAACTTTTGAGTGCCGATCTCTTTTTTGCATCACTAAACACAGGCGTACTTTGAACATCCTAGACAAACATTTTCTGTGCAGCTATGCGTTATCAAAAGTCATTAACTTCAAACTCAACGGATGATTTGTAACAAATGCATAGCGCAATTTTTATATTTATCACTTTTTACGTAGTCGTTAAGGAGATACTAAAGTCAGTTAAAAAATGGCATTGCAAAATTATAACCGAATATTTTCGTGAAACTTCCGCAATATATTTTTACTTATTACTCTTAAACAATCAAAAGTAACAGGACCGGACCGACAGAAAAAAATATATACCTTGATGTTTGACATTTTATAGTGAAAGCAGTTTAAAAAAGAGCTGCAAAACTAAAAAGTAAATATGGCTGAATTGAATTTGAAAACAACACATCGTTCTCATATTTCAAGTCAACTTAGCTTTTCGTATTTATTTTTTATAGATATCTGTTACAACAATGATAATTGAGGCTTTTCAGATCATCTTATTTCAGGTCTATGTAACACATACAATTATGGAAAACACCAAAATATTGTTCTTATAGGCAGGGTAACGGTATAACGAAAACAGTATACGTTCATTTCACAAAATCTATACAAATAATTTTATATTTATTTTTTTATAACTTTGCGTCATTTTATTTTTTGTTTTCATTAGAGTAGAACTCAGGGTAAATTTGGTAGCAGGTGTGGATAAGATACGACCATCATTTAAAGTAAAAAAGTGTATTAAACGAAAAAAGCAGTAAAGTTGGCAATCTAAATTTCAAGAATAAATTATGCAAGTACACTTGTTGCTACTACTCTAATCGATAGGATATGTATCTAAATAAAACCTTTTTTTGCCTTTGCGCACGGATCATCACACGTCATACTACCATTTTTAAGAAAGAATTGTTTTTTAGTTAGGACTACGATACAAAATAATTCGGATTATCTTTCTTTTTGAATTGCTTGGAGACTACTTAGATTGAAAAGATTACTCGATATTATATACACAAAAAAGTATAGAATTAGTTGAGTCCCTCATGTACAAAAAATTAATACTCTGTATCAAAAGCTCCTTTTGAAATTGTCGTGCACAAGTTTCTTCACAATCAATCAAAATTTTCATTATTCATTTATAACGGCTTCATCGATACAATAGAAAATCGTTGATAGGTGTGTTTATGCTTTCATTCCAAAGTTATCATACTGCTTAAATCATCTTCATTATTCACCCATTTTGATCAACGTTCAATACAAGCAGAAAAATTTCAAATGAAAAAGGAAAATTATTTTTGATTTAATTTAGCGCCGTTATTAAGGAGGGCCACCCGTAACGTATTAAAACAAAAATCAGGATCAAAACAGCGGCACACTTTTGCCAATGAAATTTCTAGCTTGGATAAAGTTGATTTAAATCAACTTGCAGTTCAGCAAAGTAAGTTTCTTCACAAAGAATTTTTCCGATTATTTTTTTAACATTTTTATTTCAAATAATATCTGGAGTTTATCAATAACGGAAAAATCTAATTTTAAAAATATATCGACCAGCGAAAAGTCCAGTTTTCATACTTATTAATATAATCGAATGCATCAATTAATTCATAACAGAATCTATCCCTCACCTAGCACATACGTATAGAACATGAAATGTTACCAGCAGTGGCGCTATGTATAACTGGTTGCAGTTACTAAAGATTGAAAGTATATGTTTGCTTCCATTATTTTTACACATCTATGGTTCATGGTTTAGTGAAATTGAACTATTATTATTTGACAGCTTTAATTTGAAGAAAATTTTAAAATTTGAATAACACCTGTAACTTAATGATAGTCAAAATTTTTTTGGGGACATGGATCATTTTGATTTCATGGAAACTACGGCAGGGAAAAAATTACTTACAATTTTTCAATATTACTTTATCACTTATACTTTTTTCCAGAATAACTCATAATAAAGTAAATTTTTTCTTAAATTTTTATCTTTCAATTTGTAAGGCAAAGTTCGACTCAGCAATTGTGTTCTTTTGACAGTATTTCGTGATAAATACTTTTAAAAATTATTTTCCTTGAAGTAAACACTTAAGTTAAAATTACAACTGTCGCCATTTTAAACATTTTTGTCACTTTATTGTTAAAACTAGTGCAAAATTCATTTTAAAATTAATTACTAGTTGTGAAGATATTATTAGTAGAAAAGGAGTATATATCAAGTAATTTCGACATTGTTTTCTCCATTTATTGAAGATAATTTGAACAAATTATGTGAACAACCAGAAACTTGAGTATAGCACGTTGACTACATATCATTTACAATAATGTATTGCGTTAAGTTTGCACTATTACGTTCCAAAATGACATGATAGCATAGTCATATCTATGAATGTTGAAAAATTAGTGGATGAGTATTACCTGATTTTTTAGGTTGTCCAAGGTATAAAAAAAAGGTTTGACATGAATGATCGCTGGAATATGGATCTCTGGAAGAAACCCACATTGAAAAGTTTATTATTGTCGGATTCTAACAGTCAAATCTTTCATAAGGGTAATTCGTACCTACTGACGTGCCAATTTTAAAATAAAATAGAGTTTATTGACCTAGCTAGCTTCAAATACTTCGTTTCATAAAAAATATAAGATCAATAGTTATATGAAAAATAAAATCAATATATCGGCTACTGGTTTCCATTTTGGGATTTACTATAGACACAACATATAAAAAAGAGTCCAATGACCAATAAAATTAATCAATATTGGGTTTCTACTGCAGCTTGTGTTGAGCTGCAGCACAGGTTTACATGTATTCAAGATAAAATAATTAAATTTCATTCTAAAGTAAGGTAGTAAATCAAAATTTTTTTGAAAAGAATCTTACTAGAGTTTTTTCAAGTTTCGATGAATCTTAAATATAGGCGGAATCTGAGTTTAAAAAACTTATTAGCATTTAGAATAGACAGGCTATAATAAAAAAGACGTACTCAAAAGTCAAATTAAAAATTAAAAAATGGGTCGGTACTTTTACATAATAGTTGATGAATTATTTAATATTTTGATCGAACTCAATTTTCTACATATGTGTAGTACTTTAACAAATTTTAAAATGTCATTTCTTTATTGCAGGTGAGTTGAAATCTCTCTCTTTACCTCGGGGCATGCTTCCAGAGCTATCAGAATATGGCGAACAAGGTAAAAAAATTTTAGGAGTCGTTTATTCTTGAAAACGTATATTATAAATTTTATTAACTGTAATTTATATTTAAATACATTATATATTATTCTATATTAAAATGTATTAGCTTAACAAACGTCATCTTTTAACACAATATCAATTAGTGAATTGCATAACAACAATGTATATTTCAGTAATATTTGGTGCACATGATGAGTACTTTAAGGTTTATCCGAAAGGCATGCCAACAAATAATTACGAATGATGTTTGGTCTCAGACGTTTTTACGACCAGTTTCTATCCCCACTCTCACTGGAATTAGAGAATAGAGGTCAAAAGTGTGTGCAATGGCGGTGTAAAAATGTAGTTGTAAAGCAGTTGCTACTTTGGAACTCGATGCGATAATTATTGTTTTGTTTTTACTTTCCTAGACGAGAATTGTGGCTCCTATTTTTACTAATGCAATACTTTGAAAATCGATATAGTTTTATTTTTATTTAAAACGAATTATAAACATGTAATTAAAAGGGGTTTGTGCATTCATATAATCGAATAAATTTTTTAAATTTCGAAATTTTGTGAGGTTTATGGCTTCAAAAGTTTTAGCGATATTTGCGGTTTGAATGAAACTTTCCAGCGCTTAAATTTATCTACATAAAATGTTCGATTGTGCACTAGTGATGGCAACTGTTTGGGTCGTTTATTAAAGCCCACGCCTACTTTTCTTTTTCTCTTCAACTACACCGACACAACTATGAGAGAATTCGTTATTTAAATAGTATTTTTCGTTCAACTTTTAATTTTGTGTAATTAACGTTTATATATTGAAAGTGGATCGAAGGGCGACAGAAGTTTTTTTCAGCACTGTATCTGCGAGCTCATGCAATATTTTTTCAATGATTTATTTTATGTTAATTTTATAGGATATTTAGAACAAAATAAAAAGTGAATTTATGATCTCTTGCGAAATTCATGACGGTTGAATATAAAATAAAAATCTCTTGAAAAAAATTGCTCGAAAAATTTCATTTCAGCACACAGAATGTGTGGCTAGTTTGTAACGATCTGATAATCTTTAGATTTTTTTATGGTAAAATATGTATATACTACACCTTGATTGACCAAAAAACCTTCTACTTAAGCTCTAATCCCAATTACATTACTTTTTTTATAATACTAAATATTGTGATTGGATTGACTGGCCACGGTATTCTGACGCGAGTTTTTCATCAATATTAATTTATGGGATCTCAAAGTCTTTAAATAAAAAGTACCCTTTCCCACCCAAGCAAAGCGGAATTTGGAAAAAATTTTTGCTCCTTTTCCAAGAGATCAAATATGGCTTTCAGTTGTAAATAATTTTTCAAAATTCTGCTTCACTTAAGTGAAATTTGAGTCCCCACAGATCAAGATTGATGAAAAACTCACGTCAGCAGCGCGTCGCGTGAAGAGATTTCAGAGCTTGGATTTTTTGGTTAATTAGGTGTAGTGTGAAAATATTTTATTACCAAAAAAGATACAATTTCAACTATTTCGATTTTTAAATATCAGCTTCAAACACTATCTTGTCCCTTTAAGTACATGAGTTTATTTTGATGATATGAAAAATACTTTTACATTGATATAAAAAGCCACCGGTAAAACCGGGTGTAAAGAGTTTCAGAGTGACATAAATTTTTTTTATTTAAGTTTCTGTAAGAGTAATATATTTTACATTCGTTTTTGATTCAACTAGTTTATTTCATGCAAGCAATATAAGAAAAATCGGAATTTTTCATAATATAGTTTTCGATATAAATGCGGGTAGAATTTCCCAATGACAAACAGGAAAAATGTTTACCATACAGTCTAAGTTATTGACCCG